TAATATATTTATTCGTATAGCTTCAATAAACATAATTAATTAAATTAATTTTCATTTATATATTTATATATGCATAATAAACTCCAAAAGTAATAAAAATGAGGAATCATTGTAAAATTCCCCTTAAATAAATATCAAAGCTCAGCTCACATTGAGCAAATGAAAATGCGAAGTGCATCAGATCTTTGACCCGTTCGATGAATATAATCTTAATTGTGGAGTTAACTTTTCAATAATTACCATTTGCGTAATTTCGCAGTTGTTACACAACAAACTGAGCCACTGTACTCGCACAGGATTATTATACATTAATAAAAAACTGCATACATATAGATATTTCAGCAAATATATGCATGTATATACATACATATACATACATAGTATGAGTGCTGAATGCACGTGTGCTTGTAAAAGATATTTTCTGCTGTGCCGCAAACATGTTGAATGCAACAGCTTGAACAGAATTTTGCGGCAGTTCGCTTTTAATTTTCACAATGTCAGCAAAAGTCAACAATAAAATGCACAGGATGAAATGCCAGGACATGGAGGACATGTATGTGCGTATGTGTGTGTGTAACAACTGCAACGACTGCAGCAGCAGCAAGTGAAAAGTCAAAAATGTTAATTAAAACTTTTTAACATGCATAAAACAAACATCGATCCACACACACACACATACACAAACATAAGGGCACTCACACACACACACACACACACACACACACACACACACACATTTACGTACATCCACATATTGGAACTGTTTACAGTGCTGCTTGCGTTCATTGTTGCTGCTGTTGTTGTCGTTAATACAACCACAGCGAACAGCAGCAGCAGCAGCAGCAACAACAACAACCAGAACAACCGCATATGGCAGCCTCTGTTAGTTAACGAATATTAAATGCCCTTATAGAAAACATTTCTTCATTAATAAGCAAGGCTTGTGAAAATGTTTAGCTTTTAATTTAATATATTTTCTGTAAGCTAGAAAAAGATTTTATGACAAAAATGAGAAAATTCGCAGTAGATAAATTCAGGTTTGACTGGGTACATTTTTTTTTTTTTTATTATTTTATTGTATTTATTATTATTATTATTATTTTTATTTTTATTTTTTATATAATTTAGATTTGATTAACATTTTAAGATTTAAACCTTAACCATATATTTTTAATCAATTCGAATGCTAACGTTGCGAAAAATAAAATAGCACCACTTGCAAAAGCAAAGCCTAAGAAGTTCTCCACCATATATTTTATTTTTTGTTATAAGAGGAGAAACCAATCAATTATTGCAACAAATAAAAATTATCATAAAAATATTTAACGTTTTTGTATATTTTCAAACATTTTTAAACAAGTCGAAAAAATGCAAATGGTGCTATTTTATCTTTTGCAGCTGTATATTAGCCCTTCTAATTGCGTTTTTATGTTAAATGGACTGAAACAAAATTTGCATGTATGTTTCACATGCTATATAATGTTTTAATAAATATTTTAGTTGAAATCTTTGCAAAGACATCAGAGCAATTTAAGACTACTCATTGTGCAAAAATATATAAAATAGAATGTCTTTCAAACAATAGATTCATAGATCAAAAATGTATTTTACTTTTACTTTTTATTTAAGAATTACGTAAAGCTTTACACTCTGCATGTATACCACATCTTCATCTATCATCTTCACCTGGTTACATCGTGCGCGATAAACCAGAGAAACTCTCAGCTAGTGTGCAAGTATAACATTTTGCAGTTATTTACAGCAATTTACGTTGGCAGCTCTTCAGCATCAGCATCAGCATCAGCCTCAGCATCAGCTTTTTCTCTTTCGTTTGTAGTCAGAATCAAGGAACGTCATGATGAGGACTTTGGGGTACTACGAGACACAGTTGAGACTCACCACGACATCAATTTCGTTGGTTTTCGTGAATATCTTCCAGGCAGGTTTCTCCTTGGGCGTATAGCGATAGAACTCCCTGCGGCCCCTATACCATTTAACCGCATAGAGCGTGTCGTTCTCAATGTCATAATTGCAGATTAAGAGCGCATTATCGCCGCGCTTAACGGCCGACGGAATGTGAACGTTAACATTGCGCAGCCCAACAGCCAGGTCTGAAAAGAGACAAAAAACGAAAGAGACGATAAATGGATGGCAGTAAAACAGATACAGACAGACAGAGACAGAGAGAGAGATGGAGCAAGTGTGTTCTGGAAGTCGAGCAACCCGTAAGCATTGTCACAAGGGCTTAAATATGACAAGTTATTGTAGCTTAATTATGATACCAGACGGCTTACATTGGATTTTTGCACGGAAGAACTTTGAGGAGAGCAGCATGGAAAACGCTCCGTAAATATATAAATGTATACATACATAAATACATGTACATGTAAATCTACATATATGTATGTATGTGTGGGCAGAGGCTTACGATAATCTAACAAAGTAGCCTAATTAGAATCTAAATGCGATTAAAAGTGAGCAATAATACGCTTTTCGAATATGTTAATTTTATAAATACATAATTAACTGATTTGAGCTCCACTACGAAATGGCAAATGTTGAGTAATTATTATGTATATGTAAATTGATGATAATAAATAAAATCAGTTTACTTAGGGAAACTTAATTATTGAGAGTAATAAATGTGAGTGTGTAGCAACTTTTTTTTTACCATCCTTAGATTAACCTACTCTGACTACTTTAGGAATTTTATTATACTGAGATAATATATAGAATCATTATTTATTTATAAGATACCTAAAATTTTCAAGAATAGATAAAAGTTGTTACTTAATTTTTTTAGCTAAATAATTCTTAGAGGAATGCTTATCAATAGATTTCATACAATAAATTTTAAAAAGAAAAAAAATATTTAAATGTATATATTTACTCATCAGTCAGAGCTTTATCGTAGATTATTATTACATTATTATGTATATTATTATGTATATTATTATTTATATTATTATGTATATTATTATTTATATTATTATGTATATTATTATGTATATTATTTCCATTACATTATTATGTATATTATTTAATGGTAAATTATGATATTTGTTATATATATCATTTTAAATTGTTATATATATAATTTCCCTCAAATTTCTGCACTCATCTTCTCCGTAAGCTGCAAATAAATAATAAATAAAACGAAAAAAAAAAAAAAACAAAAATTTGAAACAAGCCCAAAAATCAAAAAGTAGGTCAAAGATCGTGACGTATACGAAAAAAAGCTACATACAAAAACCAAAAGCAAAAAGAAACTACCTCTCATACATACATACATATGTAAATACATACATACATGCACCTTAGCATATATACATATACAGCCATATACTTATGTTTACACACACAAACATCTGTATACGCCCTCAGCACGCGTGCAAGCGAGACAGCAACAGGTAGCTGATAAACAAAAATACGGCAACATTTAGACCGCTTGTAGCTTGATTTTGGCCCGATCGTCGGCGTAGCGTGGCCCTTACGGCCCTGTGCGCCTGGCCGCATTTATAAAAAACTTCCGAGTAAAATTGAAAATCGAAAGTGAGTTTAGTTTTTGAGTATTTTGGGCGCGAACGCAGCGCACGCGCCTCTTGCTGACTCACATAAATCATAAAGCCGGCCGAGCACATAGGAAATTGTGCGGCGGCTGGTGATCAGGGCTGCAGGAAAACACGTCAAGTGCTCATACACATATTTGTGAACGCTAGCTAGATCAGTAAAAAGAAACTCTAAGGTTCGTTGAACTCGCAGACAATGAAACAGAAAACAGAAACAGAA